TTTAGCAATAGTACTTTTCCGCATATACTATTTACGGCACACCATATGAATCGTCACAGACTTCAGATCAGATTTTTATTCATAAAAACCATCACTTATTATCATATAAATCAAAGTCTTCATTCCACGATCAACAACAACAGTTTCGCTTGCTGTTAAAAGTTTACTACAAATAAAACATAGTTGCAACATTTTAATAAAAGTATTAAACGGTTACAATCTTAATAAAAAATATTACTTGATACTATTCACTGCAATAGAATGTTCAACACTAAAAGTATTTCATTATTCCAAGAATTTTGGGAAGTCAGACAAGAAAAATCAGTTGGAAAAATTATTCGAAAAAAGCATTTTTCATTGTTCCTATACAAGATTAAAGAAAACCCGCTGAAACAGTTTATTTAAAAATATGTTAAAATGCATTTCCCATTTGTTTGATCTATTTTTATGCTAAAATATTTCCCTTTTTTTTAAAAAAAAATAACTTTTTTTTTATACCTTTGACCTTAAATAACTTTTTCTTTTATACCTTTGACCTTAAATCTTCTTTTTTTTTCAAAATCTAAAAAATAAGACAATGACTCTCGAATATTGCTGTTAATATCTTCAAACATTTGACTAGGTGAAGGATAATTGATATTATCAAATATTAATGAATGTCCTCTCGAATGATTGCTGCCGCAGCTTTTAAAATTCGAAATTGTTCTTCTTTATTGCTCTCGAATATCTTCTTTATTTTATGCAAATCTAACACTATTTTTTTGTCTATTTTGACCGGATTATGAAAGTATTTCATCGTTCGTAACTTTGTTTTAAGAATTTTGGAAAGTCAGACAAGAAAAATCATTTAAAAAAATTATTCAAAAAAAGCATTTTTCATTGTTATTATACAAAATCAATGACAGTTTATTCAAAAATGCGTTAAAATGCACTTTGCATTTGTTTGATCTATTTTTATGCTAAAATATTTCCTTTTTTTTTTAAAAAAAAATATTTTTTTATAAGAAGATAAGGACGATATTTTACAAAACTTTGAAAAAAGGTTTTTCGATATAGTATATTAGTATTACCTTAACTGAAGTTATTAATATGGTAATTGCTTTAAACCCAAGAAAATCAGTTGAACCAGATGAAATTCATAATTTTGTATTAAATGAATGTGTAAATGCTTTTTCTAATTTATTAACTTTATTATTTAACAAACCAATTTACAAAAGTGTAGTATATATTTCATTGAAGACAACAAACATAGTCCCATTGTTTAAAAATGGCAGTAGAAATAAAATTTGAAATTATAGGCCAGTTTCCTTGACTTTAATTCTTTGTAATACTTTAGAACGTTTAATATCTAACTAACATTTATATTATTTAAAGGCTAACAACTTATTATTTTCTAATCAGCATGGTTTTACAAAAGACAAAATTTGTACAACTAATCTCCTAGAGTACATGGATACAGTAACAACAGGTGTTGCAAGCGGTCAAAAAATCATTTGATATCCTTTATACTGATTTCAAAAAAGCTCTTGACAAAATTTTACATAGGAGATAAACTTGAAGCACTAAAACTTGAGGCATATGGCATTACATCTACGCCATTGTAGTGGATAAATTCTTTTTTAACTGATAGGAAGCATAAAGTTGTACTTGGAGAAAGTATATCATCATGGGTGGACATAATAAGCAGTGTTCAACAAGGATTTGTACTTGGTCTAATTTATTTTTAATATACATCAATGTTCTTCCAAGTCAACAAACAACCAGTTGTTGTAGTATGCAAATGATTGTAAAGTAATAGCTGAAGTTAACAATGAAACGAATGCACGCGCTTTACAAAATGACATTGCTATATTAAAAAAATCGGTAATAAACTGGAAAATACAATTCAATTTTAAAAAATGTAAAACCATGCATATTGGTAACAAAAATAAAAATTATAAATATTTCATGACTAACAATAATATAAAGCAAGAATTAATTACTACTAAAATGAAAATGGGAACCACAAATCAAAATTGCATCATCTATTGCAAACTATAAATTTGGTATAGTATGTAAATCATATAAATATAAAGATAGTGAATTAATAAGATTGCTGTATTCTAAGTATATATGCCCTCATTTAGAATTTGCAATACAGGTATGGAGTCCTTATCTTGAAAAAAATATAAATATATTAGAAAATATTCAGAAATTAGTAACAAAATCTGTACCTGAGCTACGCCATCTACCATAAAATGAAAGAATAGAAAAAATGAAATTGACCTCTTTAAAACAATGAAGAATACAAGGAGATCTCATACAAATGTACAAATGTTATCATGATATACCGAAAATAACTTGGAAAATACTTAAATTTTTCAGGTCCGTCTTCGAATATTTGAGGTAACAAACATCATTTACTCACAAACAAGAAATATTTAAATCGAAATCATGAGGGTTTTTTTACAAATTGCACAGTCAAATTCTGGAACAAATTACTAATTGAAACAGCAGAAGTTAAAAATCTCAACTTATTTAAAGCTTAACTAGACTTAATCAAGCTTTTATTACTTCTCTTCAATTTTACATTCTACTTCACACTTTTCAACATCTTGAACAGTTGCTTTATTAAACATTAATCACTTTTTTCATCTTTTTTACAAAAACATCTTGTAAAAAAGATGAAAATCTGATCTCATTCTTAATAACAAATGTTCTTTTATTATTGCAAGAAGCCTATGTAAAAAAGTCCTGTCGGATGTTAAGCTCTGTTATTCTCATTTTACTAAATCTTGTATCTTATCTTGTATCTTATTTATATGTTAGATTTTAGAGACTTTTGGTTAGTCTTCAACAATGCCATTAACTAAAGTAAGTCTAACATTGAATCTCTAATTCATGGCTCTGGTCTTTTTACTTCTCCCCAGAATAAAAAAGAGTTATTTGCAAAGAAATCTTACTCTAATTTGGCTCTTGAACATAATGTCCATACACTTCCTGACAGTTCAACAGATAAAACCATTGTTAAACATCAAAATCACTTTGGCTTTCAATGCTAAAGTTAATTCTCAATTAAAAATGTCTACAGTTTGTGCTTCAGAATAGATTTATATCATAGTCTTAAAAGTGTTCTCCAGAACTCTCAAAAAGTACTAAATAAGTGGTTCCAATTTTTAAGGTTTTGAGGTTATTAAATTATTTCTTTCTAACTGCAGTAGTAAAGTTATTCTTGAAGGCCTACCCTCTTCTTTTTTCCTAGTAACTTTAGGGGAACCACAAGGTTTTATCTTTGCTCCTGTACTATTTCTTATTTACAATAATATTCATGAAATCTAAAGTGGCTCTATTTGCTGACGACTCAACTTAATACTCTTGTCTTGACAAATAATCTTCACTTTTTGGTTGCTTATAATAAGCAGCCGATTTTAAACCTGATCTCTGTCCTGTAGCAGCCTAAGGCTTGCAGTGGCTTGTGGATATAAAATCTGGACTTAAAATCCACAATTTTTGTTAGATAACAAACTCATTTACTGCAAAAAAATATTGCAATATTATTGGCATTCCTTTATTGATAAGTAACAACCCTCTTACTCACAGACTAAGTCTAAAAGCACATTGTAAATGTAATAAAACTTGCTTTATGCCAAGCCAATTTTTTGCTAAGGAGAAACTTAGCAAAAAATTGGCGTTTTTTTGCAAAAAAAAGCAATGTTTGTTGTAAAAAATGTAGAAGAAAAAAAAAACGTCCTCAAATTTTAATTTGGGCGGCGCCCAAACTGGCGCTCAAAAACGGTTGACACTGTTGAAAATGGTCAACATATATATATATAATATATATATATAATATATATATATATATATATATATATATATATATATATATATATATATATATATATATATATATACACACATATTATAAATTTCCAAAATTACTTTACTTCCTAATTGAATCTTTCTAATGACCCCTAATAGGAAACTTTATTTCTAGTAATCTTTTAGATATTCTTCTTTATTTCTACTTACCTTTGGTATCCATAAGATTACATCCTAGATCCAAAAATTTGTTTCTTATTCAAATTAACAGTTTTCTTGAAAATCGTACCAATATTATTTTAGAGGCATTATTACTTTTATTAGGTTTTATTTTATTAGTTTTATTTTCATTAATTATTATTTTTCAGGAAAAAAAATTAACTACTAACAAATTATGAAGCATTATTTAAAAAAAGATTAACAAAAAGCAAATAAAAGAGTTGAAGAAGCAAAAAGTCTCAATTATAGGTGTCTCACAAATCATGACTTTGATATTGGGAGAGATATAAATAACATTGTTGTGAAGTAGTGTGAAGTATTAGAGATGACACCTATTTAGCAGATATACTCTGGTTGACAAAAAATTTTAAATTACATTAGCCAGAAAAACATAAAAAAATATGAAAGAATTCTAAATTATTTAGATGTGAAGAAAAATATCATTTATAAATATGAAGACTCAGTTACGGGTAAAGGATACAACTTTGCTTTACATCTTTTACCATCAATATTTTTGTATCTTTTGGCATTGTAACAAATTATCCGGTTAAGCTAAATATGAAATACTTGGTATGACTGGATTAACCATGAATATGTTGAAAAGTTTTCAGTGTGCTAAAGGGCATTGTGCTTGCAACTTTGTTAGACCTGAATATATAGAATTCTATTTGAAGCATGGTCATACTAACTGATTAGAGGAAGACCATTCTTAACATATATGAATCTTTAGAGCTATCATATAATAACTCAATGTAAACTAAATGCAAAATAAATGCGAAATAATATTACCTTTATAACAATCATAATTAACATAATTTATCATAATTTATTAATTCTAAATTATTTTTTGTTGAATTCTGTAAATGATTTTTTTTTTCAACATTTTTAAACTTAAAGATTTATAATCAGATTCATGTTTAAAAAATAAAAAAAAATAAAAAAAATAAAGTGAAACAAATATTATATTATTACTAATTACTTACTAATTGCTTGTCGTCATACTTAATAAGCTGATTTCGTCGCTTTAAAACTTGATTGGTAAGATTTTGAACACCTTCAAGCTAAAAACAAAAAAACATAATCAAGAAAGCAAAAAAACCATTTTCAAAAAAGTGGCTAACAAAAAAATAGTTTAAAAAGACAGCTTATGAAGACTTTATTCAATAAAATGACAAAACAAAAACACATAACAACCTAATGTCTTAAAAGATTTATTTGATATATAGATATTTTTTTTTTATCAAAACACTTTTTCTTTCAACAAGGTTGTCAACTATTTAAATTACTAAAAATAAGAAATTAGTTAAACACCAAGATAACTGACAGAACGTTTAAAAAATTATAAATTGTTTGAGTCAGGAAAATATATAATTGTTCAAGAACTCTAAAGCATACTGGGAAAACTGGATAAAATTTTTTTGAAGAAGAACAAAAAGAAGTTACAATAAGAAAATTACAGTAATAAATGCAATATTTACATTTTTAACTTACTCCCAACAAGATGGCAAGCAAACACTTGGTTGGGAGTTACCAGAAAAGAAAGAATATTGCTTAAAAAAAAAGAAAATGCTTGACAAAAGACTTTAAAAACTGTGCATGAGTCAAGAAAACAGGAAAGTGGGAGAGAATTCTAACTTTTCAAGGAAAAAAAACTTGTTTTAAATGAATGTTTTAAAGCATTAAGGGACATACGGTGAAAAGATTCTTTGCTGAATGACAAATCATTGTGATTTTGTTTTATTTAGTGGAACAAGAGATTGTTTTATTTAGTGGAACAGTAACCGTGGAAGTATTTGTAAATAATAGGTAGTAACCATGGTAGTAATGATGTAACTTTAAAATGATAGAAGCATGGCAGCTAGAGCAGGTTCAATAGATACCAGCAGTTTTCAATTTTTTTAAAAAAATTAATCACTTTAAGCCAGAGTACCTTTATTAGACCATAAATCTATAATGAGCAAAAATTTGTCTTCCAGATTTTATTATATTTTTATTGGATTTTTTGACATATAATTCAGTGACACATAAGCTAGAGTGAGATATAATTAATGAACTTTTAAAACGATTGTTAGTTTAAAACATTTTCTGGCCTATTTTCATATATAATCAAAAATGAAAACAGTATATTTTTTAATTTTGATACCAAAAACTGATGGTACCCAAAGTCCAACCACAAAAAATATTTTTGAAACTTACACTGTAAATTCAAAAGGTTCTTTGTGGTTCTTTGCCGGTGCTTTGAAGAACCTAATGGGTTCTTAATATTCTCTAATGGTTCTCTGAAGAACCGGCGGCTTATTTACAAAGCAATACAAAGAACCCACAAGGTTCTTCAAATCGTTTTACGGAAAACTTCGAAGCACCTTAATATAGGGTTCTTCAAATCTTTTGTAAACGCCATTTTATTATTCTAATCGGTCGTTATATAGTTAGACTAGTATGAATTTATAAAGAATGTTATAATAACAATAACAAATGATTATCATGACAGTATTTAATTTGTGCCTTAAACATTTGAGTTGTTTTTATTACCGTTGTTAACATTAACAGCGATTATAAAAGTGCATTTTTCTTATTCAAGCAGTTTTCTAATTCCTATATACTTTTTAGGGTGTCCCAAAAAACAAAATTTTTGAAAAATATATGCAGAGACCCCCTTTATATGTTCTATATAATAAAAAACACATGGATTTAAAATTTTTTTGAGTAAAAAATATTTTTAGGGGTCCCCCAAGACCCAAGAAAAAAGTTTTTCAAAAGTAAGTCTTGTTGGGTCTCAAAAGAAGCAAAATTATATAAAAACTTCAAAAATAATGATCATTTCATTAAAAAACAGCTATTAAAAAAAAAATCATCAAAAAATCTTGTTAAATTCCTTATTTTTCGTTTTTAGTTAAAAAACATCATTTTCTGTTCACTAAAATCTAACAAAATATATATATATATATATAATATATATATATATATATATATATATATATATAATATATATATATATATATATATATATATATATATATATATATATATATATATATATATATATATATATATATATATATATATATATATATATATATATTATATATATATATATATATATATAATATATATAATATATATAATATATATAAAGATTTAATATATATATATATATATATATATATATATATATATATATATATATATATATATATATATATATATATATATATATATATATATATATATATATATATATATATATATTATATATATATATATATAAAGGGTGTCCCAAAATTAACGCAAGATTTGAATTAAATAGAAAACACAGTTTTTAGTCTTTTGATTGTAATTTTTTTATTGATTCATAAAGTACATAGGATAGGGTTATTTATGGAATAACACATCGGGCAAATGGCCTCGGCGGCTTTGCATACACATACGCACTCGTTTGTCGAAATTTTCCATGACCGTTCTGCATAAATGTGGCTGAATTTCGTTGATGCAACGTTGAATCTCCTCCTTTAATGCACGCGTAGTTGTGGGCTTGTTGACGTAGACCTGTGATTTTAGATATCCCCATAAAAAGAAATCTAATGGTGTTAAATCACACGATCTAGGGGGCCAATTCTGATCACCGAAACGAGAGAGTACACGACCTGGAAATGTCTCATGCAATAATTGAAGTGTTTCACGGGCTGTATGGCATGTGGCACCGTCTTGTTGAAACCACATATTGGCCACATCAATATCATCCAATTTCGGCAAAAAGAACCGTGTTATCATGTCGCGATATCAAGCAGAAGTAACAGTCACTGCTTGACCAGCCTCATTTTCAAAAAAGTATGGTCCAATTATGCCTCCAGCCCAAAATGCACACCAAACTGTGACACGTTGTGGATGCATTTGTTTTTCGACAATCACATGTGGGTTTTCAGAACCCCAAAAGCGGCAATTTTGGGGATTAACAAAGCCATCAAGGTGAAAATGTGCTTCGTCGCTTAGGATGAGTTTACTCGAAAAATCAGCATTTATTTGTTGTTGCTCAATAATCCATTCAACAAACTCTCTTCGCTGTGCATGGTCATTGGGCTTCAGTAGTTGTGTTAATTGAATTTTGTAAGCATGGAGACACAGATCTTTAGTGAGTATACGCTGTAGAGAGCTTCTTGAAATTTGCAATTCTTGTCCACGACGCCGAATTGAGGTTCCTGGATTGTCACCAACACTCGCACGCACTGCCTCTATATTGACATTTGAATGGCTTGTTTTTGGACGACCAGTGTGTTTGGCGTCTCCCACGGATCCTGTCTCTCAGAATTTTTCAATTAATCGCTTCACAGTTGACGAAGTTAAAACACTATTCCGACCATATTTTGTATGAAATTTTCGAACTACGGCCGCCAAGCATTCATTATTTTTGAAATATTGCTCAACAATGAAGACACGTTGTTCTATTGCGTAACGCTCCATTTTTACTAACCCTAAACTGTCAACTGTCGATTTATTTTGTTTTTAGGGTTGGCAACACTGTACTGGATAAATGGCGGCAAACTCAAATCTTGCGTTAATTTTGGGACACCCTTTATATATATATATATATATATATATATATATATATATATATATATATATATATATATATATATATATATATATATATATATATATAATATATATATATACATAATATATATATATATACATAATATATATATATATACATAATATATATATATATACATAATATATATATATATACATAATATATATATATATACAGGCTTGGTCGGGAAGCGGGAGCGATCGCTCTCAAATACTGACCACGGAAATTATATTTAGTTGCGTAAAACTGGCCAGGTTTTTTAGTCGTTTTGAGAACATTTAAGTTTATGTACGAAACAAAAAAATTTTGTTTTACGGACATACATGGAAACATAAAAAACTTTAATGTTCTCAAAACATCTTTGTGCAAAAGAATACAAAGAATATTTGCGAACACTAAAAACCCGCCAAATTAACGAACAAACTAATTCTATTGGTTCAAAAAATACGCTGATTAAGCGAAATAAAGTTCTAGAGTTTTAGAAATTGTATTATACACGATTTGTTCCGTTTTGAGATTTCTAGCATTGTTTTAAGAATATATATTTTTTGTTTACGAAAATAAATGTTTTAAATATATATTGACTAAATTGTTAAAGTTTTAAAAGTTTATTATAAATCATAGATTTTATTAGTATATTCTTATTTTTTATTTTAAAAGAGATTGTATTCTTTATGTAAATGTAATTTTGTGTATTTGTTTTTTATCGTAATGTATCTTTTAAAGCAATTTTTATGATTTAAACAAAGACTTACAAAAATAATTGCGTTTTCAATGAAGTTATAATCGTTAAAGTTATTAACTTTATGTAACAAACATATAAGTAGTTTCTGGTTACTAAACACAAACAACGCATACAAAGTAACTTGCGGATGAACAAGCATCGCGCCTGAGATCACGACAGAACACAAATATATATAGCAAATAATTAGATATAAAGAAAAGTTTCTAGATATTGGTTTACTTACTCTAATTATTTTCGCTTAAGTTGCCATTCTTAAAACTCGTTATACTTTTTTCTGCTTTAAATACTAATTAAAATTAAAATGCCCACTCACTAAACATCATCAGCGATATTGTGAAGCAGTTTCGCTTCCTGGTCATTAAGTATTTTTAACCTTTTTAGTTGATTTCTATCTTGATTATTTAATTCCTATAGTAAGTCAATGATTTAATTATTTCATTTGTTTATCTTACTAAGAAGAATCGCTTCAAATATGTTAAACTTTTCAAACTACGCGAAACATAAAATAGGTATTAAAAAATTTAACTTTTTTATTTATAAAATAGTTTAGCTTAAATAAAACTAAAACTTGCAAACTTTGTTAATAAAGAATATTTGTTTCCTTTTTAAACAATCGTAAGTTGTTACTTTATATAAAAAACATCGCTTAATTTTATTTTTTTTTGTAATTGTCTCTCATCGGTCCAATTAATCTTCGCCGCTTTTTTTTTTTGCTTTTTAAAATGTTCTCAAAACGACTAAAAATCTGGCCAGCTTTTCGCAACTAAATATTATTTACGTGGTCAGCAATCGAGAGCGATCGCTCCCGCTTCCCGACCAAGCCTGTATATATTATATATATATAATACATATAAAGATTTAATATATATATAATACATATAAAGATTTAATATATATATATATATATATATATATATATATATATATATATATATATATATATATATATATATATATATATATATATATATATATATTAAATCTTTATTTAAACTTGAATAGCATTACAAAAAACGGATTGTACAATATTATCTATTGTATTATATATATATATATATATACATATATATATATATATATATATATATATATATATATATATATATATATATATATATATATATATATATATATATATATATATATATATATATATATAATATTCATTTTATTATTGAATTTTAGACAATTCTTCAAAAGAATGCCACTTCAGTAATCTCATGTTTATTTGTACATCAAATTCAAGCAAAAATATTTACATATTGGACAATGGATTTAACACTAGAATACTTTTTTTTATAATTGAAGACATATTTTTATAAACATAGACATATGGGATTGTAAAATAAAATTTTTGTTAATTGTTTAAAAATATTATATTTATATTAATTGTTTAAAAATAGTTTTTCTTTTCTTTATTGCCATATATTGCAATATAAATTGAATTTTTAGAAAAACCGTTGTTTACATTTTAAATTTGGCGTAAAGCAACTTGTTAAATATCTTAAATTAGAATAAATATTAAAAATCTATTAAATAATTATATATTATATAAATATTTAATAATAAAAAATGTTCAAGAATTCAAAAAAGTATCTGTGCAACGTAAACAATAATGCAAAAACAATGAACGGTTTGATGAAGAACTATAACGGGTTCTTTAAAGTACCTTATTTTAAGGTTCTTCCAAAGAACCCTTTCAAATGGTTCTTTGGAAGAACTCTACAGGTGCTTCACCAGCATCAACACAAAGAACCTTTAAAGGTTCTTTAAAGAACCTTACTTTAAGGTTCTTCCGAAGGACCTTCTTAAAGGGTTCTTTGAAGAACCTCTAAAGGTGCTTCACCAGCGTCAACGTGATGAACCCTTTAGGTTCTTTGAAGAACCATTCGGATTAAGAGTTTATCTAAAAGAAAAAAAACATTATTAGATGAACTAGCCCAAATATGATAACATTGTTCTATACAATGATAGAAAAGAGATTTATCAAAGTATAGAACTATTTAGAAGTAAAAAAAATGGCTGGTAATAAGTTAATAAAAAAAAAATGGCTGGTAATAAGTTAATAAAAAAAAAATGGCTGGTAATAAGTTTAAAGAAAATTTTATAATTAGAAAACTTTAATTGAAATATGATTTTTAAAAATAAAAAATTTAATATAACTTTGAAGGTATTATAGACATGTTTTGAATTACTAGAGAATTTGACTCAATCATAAATTGTGCATTTTACCTGAAGTGATATGCTAACTAACAAAGCTAACTTTTAAAAATAAAATTGTAAAACATTTGAAAAACCTTTAAAGTAAAATTGTAAAACATAAATTTAAACTGATAACCTTAAAAAAACATTGTGAAACAGTAACAGTTGAAGTGATTTACACTTTTTTTTTTTTTTTTAAAAAAAAAGTGTAAATCACTTATGTGTTGTTAGTTACAACATAAAAAACAAGAAAATCATTATGAAATACATTCAATAAATATTTATTGGAGAATTTTATTAATATAGTTGATTTTATTAAAATATTGCTTAAAAAATATTATACTTTTCATCAATAACTTAAAAATACTAAACACTCTACAAAAAATATGAAAAAACGTACATAAGTTTGAAGTCCTGTGCCTTTGCATTCATATGCTTCAAACCTGAGTTCTTCTGGTGAAATCTCCACAAAACCTAATTAACAGTAAATACAAAAACAATAATTGTTATTAATAATATGTTATATATATAAAATATGAAAGTGCTCCTATACTTAGATATTGTCACTTTTCTGGTAAATGGATTTGTGATAACATGTGTGAAACTTTTTTTCTTCTATATATATGTACATTTACTAAAACATAAGATAGACCACTAAAACTTATTTAATGTCACAGTCTACAAATACATATTGTTATACAATACATAAAGTTCCCTTAAACTTTTTGAAAGTTGTGTGATGATTCTCAAATGCAAAAGCTTGTGAGGTTGATGGCCAAATGACCATATGGCCAATCAACCAGCAGATTAAGTAAAACCTATTAATTTGAGTGAAGAATATTTGTGATATGTGAAGATACTTATTGGAAGCTCTGTTAGCAAAAGAATGTTTATGATATGTGAAGATGGTTATTGAAAGTTCTGTTAGCAAAAGAAAATGTGAACCATAGTTAGAAGTAATATTTTTTACCAATTAAATTATCTCATCATTTGTTAACTGTGTTAAAAACAGAACCAGTGTAGCAAGTTCAGGATACCATGAGTTTCGTATCATCATCTTCAGGCCAGCCATTTTAATTGTTTCATCATTTAATGCCTAGAACATACTTATTAGACACATATCATTCACAGGTGCATCCACAGCACATGTGATTTTAAACCATAATTGAACATATACAATAGGTATATGATAAATTTTAAATCAATTAGCCTGGAGTTCTAAATGATGAACTTTTGCCTATAAATCACAGAAATGACATTGATTTCACCAAACCTTGAAAAAACTTCCCGCACCTAAGACAGTTTCATATTTAACCATACAACACATAGCAGCCCAAAGGCTATTAATTATAAGATGTCAACTTTATATACAATACACATGAGAAATACATGAGAAATACACTGTCCTACAGCATTTGTAGTGATGTTAATAATCTTTCAGATTTGTGTATTAGTATTAATAAATTTACAGTAAAGATATTTGTTTGTTCTGCAAGAAGAACGAATGTCCTCCATCAACTTTACAGCTCTCTCGGCTACTATGTTGGTTCGAGGCACATCAAGCACTGATGGTTCCTTCTTCCAGTGGGTAGAGAAGAATTTCACAGCTTTGGAACACTTAAGTTGGGATATTGCTGACAGCAGGTCTTCATAAGCCGCCTCTGCATAGTGCTGGTTTGAAAACCAGGCCCGCGACCATGTAGTTGCAAAAAAATCGCAAGTTATCCTCAGCTGTTCTCGCCAGTTTGGAAGAATGAAAAATGCAATAAGCGCAAAAATGCCTCTTGAGTTCCACCTGGCACTGTGCAGTGATGGCAGCTTGTGCCATTTGATACGAGGCCATTTTTCCTCATTTTTGTAAAACTTTAATGCTTCACAAAGCTGAAAAAGAAATTTAAAGTCATCTCTCCAGCCAAGGTTCTCATACTCTGCTACCACTGTTGTGCCCTTGTAGGCATTTTTTAAATCATCGTAATGCTCCATAATCTCATCAATAAATTTGTAGTTAATGTTAGGCGACTGTGACTGTATAGGAAAAAAGAAATCCAACACATGTCGTAGAACAAGATCAAGAATGTGGTGTTGGCAGCCGATGTATTGAGGTTCATCGAATCCCTTGTCTCGAAATGTTTTCTAAGGCTTGGCTACAACTCCATTCTTGCGACCAGTATTTACAGCTGTTGTGTCAGAGATGATCATCTGAATACTGTTCCATGCATTGTAATCATCAAGTAGGTCCTGTAGTAGTTTATATATGCTTGCAGATGATCCACTGTCACAAACCAAAATACCAAGTTGTAATGTTCTTTTGTCATTTTTCAAGCACACAACTAAGTACTCAGTTTTGTCAATTTTCTTACCATCAAAATGCAAAGAAAATTTCTCTTCAGAGATCAGTTCCATGAGGCAGTTCTTAACTTATTCTGCATCTCTGATTGTTCGACGCCAGACTCCAGACTGTGATGGTGTTGGGACACAAACTCCATCCTCAGCCAGACTTTGAAGCACCCATGACGTTTTTCAGGTTGACAAAGAGTGACTAGACACTAGTTTGGCAGCAGACTTAGTTGACTGGCATGTTGCACACTTTCTGCGAGATTCTCCTGGAACTACCTCCGAGTCACCACTGCTGCTTCGCAGGAAAGTGGTATGGAGATAACCGCTTGGTTTGTCGAGAGTTCTGATGTGCTTTTGGCCCTTTTTGATGGATTGTTGACATAGGAGCCACTTTCATAGTTGTATATCCCACCCTGCCATCTGATTCAATTAGTACTTTGTACAGTTGTTTGTCCTCACTACAAAGCCAATTTCCATCTGGTTTTGTTATATCAAACAGATGAGCAAGATTTTCTTCAAATACTGCATTTGGTCGCTTTCTGAGTTTCTCAAATGATGTGATAAGTTTGTAAACATTAGCAGACACTTGTTGTTTGGAAAGAACAGGAAAATTAAATTTCTGCCAAAGATTCATCAATTCCTCAGATATTTTTGTTAGTCGATAATGTCGTCCTTTCAATTTATTAAAGAGTCCCAAGAACCTTCCAACGATATCTCTGTTGGAAGGCATTTTACACAATTTGTTGCTCATATCCTGTTTTACCTGTGGTATATTAGGACAGCGCTTCGTGCTTGATTTCAAATTTTGTGTCTATATTTCACCAGATGCTTCCACTGCTGATTTTGACTTTTTACTTTTAAAGGACATATTTTCAAAAAGAAGCACTAAACAGCAGATCTTGTAAATTAATACTGCAAATAATGAAAAAACTTTTTAATACTTCTACACAATATTTTAATCGCGCGAACATTAAAAAATACTCAACAATAAACAACAACAAACGCGCATTAATTTGAAAAACAGTCGTTAAAATTTGTTATTCAAAATTGAGTTACATAACATAAAAGCAATTTAAAACTATCGAACTTTTTCATTCTATGTTAATTAACTTTTTAAACTGTTTGACGCTCTCCAAGTTGTAGTTATATTCAAGCATAGTCAAGCATAAGGAAGTAAGAACTTCCTTATGCTTGATAAGAGAGTAATGAAAAAGTTCGATAGTTTTAAATTGCTTTTATGTTATGTAACTCAATTTTGAATAACAAATTTTAACGACTGTTTTTCAAATTAATGCGCGTTTGTTGTTGTTTATTGTTGAGTATTTTTTAAAAAGTGAAAAATCGAAAAAGTCAAAAGTGGTGAGGTGCTAGGTGTTTTTTTGTGATCCAATGAAATAAACCTCAAAACAGTGATCTATTGGTAAAAGTTCATCAAATGCAACATCAGGAAAATTAAAATTTTGAAAAAAGTTTTTTTGTCATTTACCTAATATACAAGCAAAATAAATTGATTGTTGCAGTTGTTGCAGTTCATGAACAATCAACTTGAAGACAATTCATTGCATCCAAGCATCCAAGCATCATTTGATAACTGATAGAGGATGTTTGACTTTAGTTTATCTGGTGCTGTTAATAATGGAATTCGTTGGGTTAGCGTTAGGCTTAAGGTTAGCTACAACTTTATTTTGTTAGTATTGTTGGCTCATGGTGATTAAGTTTGCTACGCTAAATAAACTGTACATAAGAAAGAGCATCTCATAAATACGGCGTCTACAAGCTAGTTTCTTTTAAATGATTCTTCTAGCAAGCTCCTGTAAACTTCTCCGTTTTTGAGACAGTAGTGACAAAATACATTCCAATAACATTTAATTCGCATTTCCATAACTGAAGCTGCCTGTTGAAGAGCAACCTGTCTCATAATCTATTGCAGGAAAACTTCATAACATATTCCATCAGCAATTGAAAATATCAATAACAGCATTACACATTTATGATGTTAAAAACTTTTTTGATTTAAAGCGTGTTTTTTTATGACAACTATGAATCACCTGGTTATTGTTAGGGTTAAGTGCACCTGGTTGTTAGGGTTAAATGCAGCTAAATAAAAAATTTAAAAGATTAGCCAGAAAGGTTTTTATTTATTTTCTCCTTTTTTAACTTGTACAGACCTAAATTTAGCAACCTAATGGGTACAAATAATTACAAATGGGCAACTTTTACTTAGCAGTCCCAGCTCTATATCAGAAGATTTATTCATCTGTATCTTTTAGACACTTGATGTTTTTTTTATCTTCTCTTACTCTTTTTTCTTTTTATATTTTTACTAAAAACCTCTTAAAAAATCATAAACTAATCAAGTAATTACTACAATCAATTTGTCATTTATAAATTTTTTATTTTATTATCAATTTCTATTTTATTATTTTTTATAGCATATATCTAAACTTTTTTGTGGTCACACAAGCACAAGAAACCCAGAACATAGTTTTTTGTTGCTTTTAGTTTTAGAATATGAATCCCATACAAGTATTTTTATTCTTATACATTAAGAAAAATGTATTTTAAGTTTTAAAATAAGTTACACTTCTATTTTACGGCTTTTTGTTTATCTTTCAATAGTTAAGTAGGCTACAATATTTTTTGTTACCTGACAGACAATTCCTTTCTCAAAGAAAATTCTTTTAGTTACCTGACAGACAATTCCTTTCTCTTTGAACAGCAAAACATGAAAATGGCCAAACTTTATTTATAGCCCAATCTTGAAGCTCTTTTCTTATCATTTGTCTAATAATGGTATTAAAATATTTATTATTATTTCATTTATAATATACATACACACACACACACACACACACACACACACACACACACACACACACACACATATATATTACTTTTAAAAATAAGACAAACTTTTTAATTTTATTTAAAAACATTTTATTATTCAAGACATGTTTTGACTATATATAGTCATCATCAGTTAAAATATATTTCAAACTTTCTATATATACAAAAAGATTTATTAAAATTATTTTAACAAATGTCTATATATATATATAAAATTATAAAATTATATTATATATAAAATTATAAATTTAGTATTTACTTCATTAAAAGTGTCTAATTTTTTTTCATCTAAAGATCACCTTCTGTAGATTTTAAATCATTCATCGTCTACAAATTTGTTTGTGCAGGATGTAAATCCTGTTATATTGGCGAAACTTCTCGCCACCTAAAGACGCGAGTGATTGAACAATACAGAAGGGATAAAAACACTCTTATTTATAAACATCTTCACTTAAAAGAAAAATGTTTTAAAATTTATAATGATGAATGCTTTTCAATTTTGGATCGTGCTAAAAACAAAATTGAATTAAAAATTAAAAAAAGTATTCATATAAGATGGGAAAAACCCAATATGAATAAACAAGTAAATTAAAGTTAGATACAGTTGCACAAAAAATATGGAAAGAATTATAAAAAGTCACAATAATGCTTTGTTAAATAAAAAAGAAATCCTAAATGAAAAAACTACAGAAAATTGTAATTGTAAACAAAAAAACAATTGTCCAATGAGTGGAAGTTATTTATCAAAAAATGTGGTATATAAATGTGTTGTTTCCTCTAAAAATGTACCCGATAAACAATATATTGGCATAACAGAGGGTGAATGGAAAAAACGTTTTGCCAATCATAAGCAATCTTTTAAAAATAAAAAGTATTCAAAAGACACCATGCTGTCAAAATATATATGGGAACTAAAAGATAAAAATATTGATGATTTTATACTGAATTGGTCCATCCTTAAAACAGCGCCTGCATACAACAATATTTCCAAAAAATGAATACTGTGTCTACAAGAAAAATTTCAAATAATTACACATGCAAACCAAGAATGATTGTTAAACAAAAAATCGGAATTGATTTCTAAATGCAGGCACGAAAATAAGTTTCTCCTAAAAAACTATAAAAATAAGTGAGCTCAAATAATAGTTACATTAAATCCCCCCTTTTTTAAAAATATTTTTATAAAAAAAAAAAAAAAAAAAAGCATAAGTAATCATTTCTAAAGAATTCTTTTTATAATAGTGTCAGCAAATTCTACAAATGTGTGAAAATTTACAGTAGTTAAAACATTTGCGACTTCCTGTAATTTAATATTTTGGTATAAATTGAAGTTTTATTAATTTGATCATTCATTTCTGATGAGTCTTTGTTTAATTTTCTACTACTTTATAATTTATAAAGTAGTAGAAAATCACTTAGCAAAAATTTAAACACTGTGTTTCATCAATAAAGATTCATTGATGAAACACAGTATTAAAGTTTTTGCTATATGATTTTCTACATATATATAAAGTAGTAGAAAATCACTTAACAAAAACTTTAATACTGTGTTTCATCAATGAATTTTTATTGATGAAACAGTGTTTAAATTTTTGCTAAGTGATTTTCTACTACTTTATATATATATATATATATATATATATATATATATATATATATATATATATATATATATATATATATATATATATATATATATATATATATATATATACATACATATATAATTTATATTATATAAACATATATATATATATATATATATATATATATATATATATATATATATATATATATATATATATATATATATATATATATACATATATAATTTATATTATATAAACATATATATATATATATATATAAACATATATAAATATATATATATATATATATATATATACATATATAATTTATATTATATAAACATATATATATATATATATATATATATATATATATATATATATATATATATATATATATATATATAATTTATATATAATTTATATTATATAAACATATATAAATATATATATATATATACATATATAATTTATACTATATAAACATATATATATATATATATATATATATATATATATATATATATATATATATATATTATATATATATATATATATATATATATATATATATATAATAAATAGGCTTTTTTTTTTTCACTTTTAAACTTTACTTATATTAAGTAAAGTTTTTTTTTTTTAATTAAAACCATTTAAAATTTAAAACAATTTTTAAAGATAATATAAATAATTATATTTTAAAAGATTGAGTGAAATAATATTTTTGTGAAGCTAAAACTATGTTTATAAAAGCATCTTACATATTGTTAACTTTTATCCAATAAACACAATCATCAGTAGACAATAAAACAGAATAAGTTTTTTTTTATATATTTTTTTAATTTTGTTGTATTCATGTTATTAGTTATTTCTTTTTATTGTATTTTTTAATATCTTTTGTTGTCTTTGATTGTTGCATTCTGTAGATTAAGACTTTCAAATTTTCAGTTTATTAATATATCATTAACTTTTTTTTTTTAAATTAAGTAAAAATCATTTTTAAATTAAGTAAAAATCATCATTTAAATTAAGTAAAAATCATCATTTAAATTAAGTAAAAATCATCATCAAATTAAGTAAAAATCATCGAAGTTTAATTAAGTAAAGATCATCGAATTTAAAGGGAATTAAAAAAAATTCGATTTATTATAATTGGCTTTTATTATAATTTAAAATTAAACTAGTGGAGTACTAATGCAGCACTTCCACTGACCAACTTTTGAAAGATATGTGCACCATAGTGTATATACATATTGACTGCTTATCTAGGAATAGGCGCACTGTAATATAAATACAATGACAAGAGTTTTGAAAAAGAAAAAAATTTCTTAATGTTTATTTTACCTATTGACTTATTTTTGTTTGTTTTTGAATAAAAATTTAATTATGTTCAAGTAATTTTACTTATTTTTATTATAATTGATTAAAAAAATTAAATTGCTTTCAGAATATATGACTTAAATTATAAACATTTTTTGCTTGTGAGAGATTTCATTTTAAAAATCTTGAAACTTTTTTTAAAATGTGCAACTATTACTTAACTTAGAAAAGTAATTGCTAATTACTTTTCTAAGTGAATGTTAAAAGAAGTCTATGCCTTAGACTCTTGGACCTTGGACTTGGCCTCATTAACTATGACTGGTAGTTAAATAAAGACTAATCACTAGTCACAGAAAGATAACCTGCATTTCACTACTGTCTTGTAAACAAAAATTTAATGTGAAAACAGAAAATTTATGTTGACCAGCACTCCTTTTTCAAACTATATGCTGGCATGGATTTAAACCTATACTGTTTGCTGTCTAAGATGATTGATATTCTTGACTCTATAGAATGTAGCTGGAGATATCAAAAGAATGTAGCTGGAGATATCAAAAGAATGTAGCTGGAGATATCAAAAGAATGTAGCTGGAGATATCAAAAAAATAAACTATTACTAGATAATCTCAAAAAAATCTTTTTTGTAGAGAAAATCTATGAGTTGTTAACTTTTGCTATTAAATTATATCATTATGTATTAAAACATTTATGTATTTAAAACATTATTAATTGCGGAACATTCGTATTCAAATATCTTAATAAACAAAAAATGTAAAACTCCATTTATAGATGAAATTTTTGAATGAAATTTTTGTTTAGCTGAAAATTGGCATTAGTTTGAATAAAATGTTTGCTAAAATGGTTTTAACTGAATAAAATTGAAAAAAAAAAACAACAGAATAATACTTTAGAAGACTCTTAGTGGTCGTCATTTTCATTCAGTCTTTTTTTTTTTAAAAAAAAATGCTGAATAAAGTTGACATTCGAAAAACTAAAATTAGCAAAGTATATGATGAATACAATACCAACCTAAATTCATAATAAGTATGCGAATACAGTGCCAACCTAAATCCACAATAAGTTTTAGATCTTCCATAAAGTATATATGGAGGTATTTGTGAGGGGGTTACCAAATATGTACAAGGGAAAGGGGGGTTTTAAGACAGCAAATATGTATATGGTTTGACTATCTCTTGTTCTCTATTTCTTCTAAAACTTGATTTTTTTTTTTTTAGACAAAAGTATTGAATTTTACAAACTTAAAAAATCAATATTATGCTATTTAACAGATAAATTTTAAAAAATTTAGAGAAAGGAGGGATTGATTTTGTTATAAAAAATGCATAAATGTACAGGAGAAGGGGGAGGGGCCAATAAAAGTATACACGTGCATACAAGGGGTTCTAAAATTAATGTTTTTACTGCATACATACTTTATGGACCCCTATGTGAATACAGTTCACAACTATGTATAGAAACATATCTTTATGGAAATTGACCTTTCCTTTGTTTGTGTAGTAACTATGTGTTGTTTGTGACCTTTCCTTTGTTTGTGTAGTAACTATGTGTTGTTTGTGACCTTTCCTTTGTTTGTGTAGTAACTATGTGTTGTTTGTGACGGTAACTATGCTGTATAATCATTACTTTTCAAATTTAAAACACTTTCACTTACACAGAAACTTCTCCATTACCGATTGGTAACTTAACTTCATTTACTGACACATTTGTAGTCTAAAAGCAAAGTGAGAGCCAGTGAAAATATTTACAGAAAGTTTTTAAATAATAAAAGAAATTATTCTATTCAACTAACCTTGTTGTAATGATATCGATCATTTTGGGGAGAGCTAAACAGTGGGCGTGCACCAAATGCTCCACCTAGTATGCAGCAAATTATCAACAAAAATAAAACTTTTTGATAAATAAACTTTTATAAACTTTTTATACCAGAAAATAAATTTGAAATAAAAAATACTTTAACAATAAACTTTTACACTTTGCCATAATGTTTTTGAAGTCAAAATTTTTTCTTTTAGAATCTTTAAGTAAAGTATCTCACATACACACACACACACACACACACACACACACATACACACACACACACACACACACACACACACACACACACACACACAACCACTAGTATGGATCTGTATTTTAGATACATACTCGAACATAATAAAAAATTTTCTTGTTCTGAAATATATTTTTATGACTGATACCTTGATGCGGCAATTAGATATTGCTTCATTCTAAGAGATAAAATGATTTGTTTTTTGCAATTTATTTGATGAAGCAAAAGCTTTATCATATTCTGAGGATAAGATAAACAGGTTTAAACCTCTGATATAAACATGATGATATAAACCTTATAAAATAAATTTAAAACAAATGCCTTGCTGTGAGTGCTCATTACGACATCTATTGCCAAACTTGCAATTTCCTTTTAGGAAAAAGTTGCATATAACCATATTCACTAATTAATTTTCTGGAAAAAAATTTTGAAAATTTGAATAACTTACTTTGAAAACAAAAATTTTATAAAAGACAAGTCTACATAATTTAGAATTAAAACAATTTAAAATGTTAAAGAAATAGCCTTATAAAAAATTTTTTTTAGTTTTTAATCTTAAGAGACATAGCAGCTGCCTCCTAAACACCAGGTAAAACTTAATCTTTATTTTCTGATTTTGCATGCAGGATCTGAGAATGAATGTTGATGAAGATTCAAGTTGGTATTTTAAAAAAACATATTATTATTAAGTAAAAATTGTCTACTTAGTTTTCTCATTAAAAATCACAATTAGTTTGATTAACAGTTTGTTTTTTTGTTTCCTTTTTTTAACATCTTCACTTCCAATAAGGCTGCAAGCAACCAAAATTAGAGTTAGAAGTTACTAGAAGAGAAAAGATGAATTTAATAAAGCAAGATAATAATTAACCAGCCCTCGGAATTAGGATTGGCATTCGGCAATGCCGAACTTACTGCTTACTTTGTGTTTGAGTGTTTGAGGTCGACAAAAAAATGCCGACCTTGTTTTTTTATGTTTTATAGCAATCTCTTTGTGTCAATTTTTTTTTTACCAACCTTATACTGACCTCTTATTGTTTAAGGTCGACAATTAATTGCCAACCTTAAACTATTCTAATTCCAAAGGTTGATTAACAGATGACTAATAAGATTGCAATTTCACAATTTTGTTTCATTATTAAAGCAAAAAGAGAAAAAAAGTGCTTGAAAATAAAAGATGGAAAACCTTTTTTTATTTACTTGATTTTGCTTTAGTTTGTAAAAAAAAACTACTAATCATGAAGCAAAACAAATTTTTACATATATAAATTACTATTTAAAACAAGTAAAAAAAGAATTACAAAAAAATATGCCAGTAAATATACAAAATTATTTACAAAACCAAAATAAACATAAACAAGAAAAATAACAAGATAAAAACTTTTTAAAATACAAACATTAAAAAAATAATAATAATAAAACCCAAAAAAATCAAAACCTCAATTGAAAATAAAAGAAATTGTTAAAATAAAATGAAAATCTTTTAGCCAATACATTTTATATGGATACTTTATCTAAACTATTATCTAAATGATATATTGTATATATACATAAATGATATATTGTATATATGTACATTTACATGACTGTTTATGTTTACAGTTTAATATTTACTTATACATATTCCACAGAGAATAAAAAAAAAAAAAAACAAGAATAGTGATTAAAATTCTCTGTTTTAATTTTTCCAATAATAAAAAAAAAACTTCTTACACAGTTATTATGGCTTCATATCTCCTCAATAAAATTAAGGAGATAATAAGTAGCCTACATAATGTATGTCACTTTATAAAGTTTACTTAAGTCTGCATTGACTTTTTTTTTTTGCACTACATAGTCACAAAAAATAAAATAAATTTAAAGTTTGATTTTAGAAATATAAACTTGAAAACAACTAAATCTAAAAACTAAATTAAAAAAATCAATAGCTAACCAGTAATAGGTGACTCTATAGAATAGACAAGATATGAAGTAATTTGACTATTATTGACATGACATACTATCATTCCTGATCAATATTATTTTTATTTTCAATTTTTTTAAATAAATTTTTTATTCTTATATTGTTTAGGTTTAGTATAAGTTTTTTTATGATAGTAATAGCTTTGAATTATCTGAAGAAGGAAGAGAGGGGGAAGGGTGAAATTGTTAGAAACAATTTTATTAAATGGTTCACATAAAACTTGGCAATTATTAAAAAGAAGTAGATTCCAAAAATTGTTTACATAATTAACATAATTAATGGACATTTCTCAACATTTAAAAAAACCTTAGGATAAAATCAAAACCATTTGAAAACTTAAAAACGAAGAAAATAAAAATAAAACAATAAAATAATGGAAAATTCCCTACCCTCAGTGAAAGGTTTGGGAAAACCTTTTCAGGGAAAACAGAAAGTAACCTATTCAATCCTTTGAAACCTAAAAACTTCAAACTTCACAATCAAAAAAATAGTGCAATATATATATATATATATATATATATATATATATATATATATATATATATATATATATATATATATATATAAATATTTTGGACATCATATATATATATATACATATATATATATATATATACATATATATATATATGTATATATATATATATATATATATATATATATATATATATATATATATATATATATATATACATATATATATATATGTATATATATATATATATATATATATACATTTATATATATATACATATATATATATATATATATATATATATATATATATATATATATATATATATATATATATATATATATATATATATATATATATATATATATATATAATAGGGCTATTTAGACCCTTTCCAAAAGCGTTTGGGTAGCATTTAGGCAAAATCAGAAATTTAGGATTATTTTTTTCAAAACAACAAATATTGTTTTTGAGGGGAAAAATGCTCAAATACAGGAATGTTTACTCAAATTTCCTTAAGGCAGGCGATAGCACAGGGTGTACCGATGTCCAAAATATTTTACTAGAATAGCCACTGTATATATATATATATATATATATATATATATATATATATATATATATATATACATATATATATATTAAATATAAGTATATGTAAATATAACAGTAGAAAATTAAAAGAACATCTAAATTTAAAAAATGAAATAACATTTAAAAAAGTTATTCATTGTTCATAATAAACAATTTTTTTGCAAATTATCAAATGCAACATTAAATTCAACACAACATTACTAAGACGATGAAGCAAGAAGAGATGCTAACTTTTCATCAAAAATATTA